CCCAGCCTGTATTTGTGCCTGGGATTGCCATGATCTTGAACACTTGGTTGAAGTAAGTTCTGATCTTCCCTTTACAGCAGCTGCTGTAGGATGTCTCCGCAACCAGCAGATTATTTTGTAATTCATTTCTGTGGATGCCCAAACACCGCTCCCTTAGTGAAATGCATCCAAGCCTCTCAGTTCTGTTTCATGGGCGATGCTGAGTTCACAGAGAGATGTGTGAAGTTGAGGAGGAACTATTACCATTATGTTGTGTCTTTCTTCTTCTTACAGGGTGCCTTAGCGGTGGAAGTTCGTGCCAAAGACCAAGAGATACTGAATATGGTATCTGTCCTGCACGATGCAGACACCGTGTTATGCTGCATTGCCGAGAGAGCCTTTATGAAACATTTGGTAGGTGTGCCGAAGAGAAGTAGAGATTACTTCTGAGTCGAGAAGGCCCTGAAATTTTCAGAGGCCTCTGCTTTTGTTATATCGGGTAGAAGCCTCAATGTCAGCTGCTTTCTGTTTTAGGAGGGTGGATGTAGCGTCCCTGTCGCCGTCAACACCATGCTGAAAGATGGCCAGGTGAGGAGCACTTGGTATTTATCTGGGATTATTTCTGAAAAATATATTCTAGTGCGTGCGTGTTCCCTGATCCTTTCCTGAAGCTAACTCCAGCAGGTATTGTTATAGCCAATTAGGGCAGATGGCTCCTGACTCGAGCCTCTGGGTTTGTGTCCAAAGCTGGAGTACGAGAATGGGTCCGGCTTCTGAAGCTCAGTCTTCCCGAAAATGCCCTTATATAATAAGTACCAGACCCCCCCCCCCCCCCACTCTTCCTCTAATACACACAAAGGCCTCTTCTCTTTAAAGGTAACATTGCCCCGAGATCCGAGTCTCGCTTCTGACCCCAGAAAATCAGTGGTTTCACGCAGTGGAGCGTGATTCAGGAGGTGGGAAGCTAGAAAAAAGTTCAGCTTTTTCCTTGGGAAGTTGCATCTTGCCTAACAGGGATTACTGTTCTTATAGTTTTATTTTACCGCTATTCTTGCTGATCCCACTGCATGACAAAAGCCTTCTGCTCCAGACTTAGCTTTGTATTTGTGTGGGGTTTTTTTTTTAAAAAAGGGGTAGTTGGCTTTCTCTTTGTTAATGTGGTATTAATCCCTTCTGTATATCTTTCCAAGTTGTATTTGACAGGAGCGGTCTACAGTTTGGATGGATCTGATAGCCTAAAGGAGACCATGCAGACCAGCGTTCATTATCCCCAACAGGTACGTGAACCAAGGTTGGTTCAAAATCCAAACCTGAAGCTGAATGACAAAACTAGACCTGTTCAAATGTGTTATTTTTTGTCCGGTTCCTCAGAAACTGGATTTTTACGCCATTTCACACGTGGCTTTAGCTGTTCATTGCCCACGCCTTCCTGCTGCCTTATGTTGACGTGTTTGTATTTGCAGAATGAAGACGGACCAAACGACGATGTGCAGCACGTCGGCATCACGGCCAAGAACGTCCCTGGTCGGGCCCAGGACGCTGCAGAGAACCTTGGTGTTGAACTAGCTAGTTTGCTTCTAAGCAAGGGAGCTAAGCATATCCTTAGTGTGGCAAGGCAGCTCAACGATGCCCGCTAAACTCGCGGTGTGGTCGGCACGACTGCTACAACTCTAGCAAGTCTTTGCCGCTACACTCTGGAGGAAGGGATTTATTTAACTGTTCACACGGATCTTATCTGATGTTTGGGCACAAGAACTTGAAATACTAAGTTGACTAATGTGAGTAGTTTATGCTATTTGAGGTTTTCATCCCTCTGCCTTTCTCTAAATTACAAAGTGTCTGGAGTTTTTTTCAACAATTTTTGTAGCTAGAAGGTTAAAAAAAATTAAAAATCTCTAAGTGCTCTATTCCGTTTAGGAACAAGGCACTCATTACAGATTATAATCAGAGACTCAACTGTGATGGTACTAAAGTGTTGTACTGTGTGCACAGTACTGAAGTACTTTCAGTAGTCACCAACAGTATTTGGGCGTGCTCACTCCTTAGAACGCTGAAGAGGAAGACTGCTATGCGGCACCCAGTACTGGGTTTCTCACAGTAAATTATCACAGATACTCATCATAGGTGTCCGCTAAGGTAAGGACTTAAGTTTGCAGTTATCAAATGCAACTTTGATTGGCAGGAAGTAAATTAGGAAGTGGACAGCCAGTCTAGTTTCCCTTGTGCACATCTACAAGGGTAATCTGAGGTGGTCATTCATCTGTACTAACCAGGTTAATGGGGAGCTGAAGAGGAAGCCCAAATTGGGGCCTTTGTGCCTTTCTCTGTAACTGTTAGCCCTTTCCTTTTCCTGCGGCTCCTTGTACTTGCTACTGGGCTGCCATCCTCTCCGTGAGGCTCGTGCGTTACGGTGCCTTGCAGAAACACTGAAACGGCACCTTCCCGGGCTCCTGGTTTGGAAAGGAAGCATTGTTTATTCTCTATGTAACGTCCACTGCCTGTAACAGATGATAAATACAGCTACAGTGTAAGCACCCCGGGTCAGTCCTTACAGAGCAGCTCTTCCGTTGGCAGGGGTTCAGCCCGGACCGAGCGGCCGGT